TGGTGAGCCCTCTTTTGCAAAACTAAATGTAGAATCCATAGGAGGTTAACTTGATGTCCTCATATAGCAAAGGGTGGGGGTGCAGTTGCTGTAGCTGTGTGGAAGATTCTTCTTTCAGCAACATGAGTTCAAACCATGGCTTTTGCTGGTGCTGTGCATCTGTATGAGTAATGGGCACAAGGTTGGCTGTATCTGAGCCATCGCATCGGTTCGTGTGTCTCTACTCTGAAGGAAACATGGATTCGGGTTGTTTATGCGACCCTTACAAGCTTCTCCACATTGAAATGCAAATACTTAATAACCGAAGCTTAAGGATCATATGATTCTTTAGACAGTAAATCTGGTTGTTCAGAGCTGTACACATATTTGGCAGATTATGGGTTTATCACTGGCAGCTAATCTTTTGGAAAACTGTGGCTTAATTCCTTTTGTTAACTAATTAAAAAGAGAGAAAGAAGTTAAAGCTGTAATTAGAGCTATTAAAACCTGTGTTACTCACTCAATGGTCTATACAAGTAGGATAAATGTATAATTAGCATGTTTGTCCAAACATGATTAAAACCAGTCACGTGTCCCAGGCCATCAAACATTTGTGTGTGCATGAGATTGAGAGGAAAGTCAGTATGAAAATGTGAATACAAACAATGTCATACTTTGCAGAGAAAATACATGAACTATATTTTGGCACATTGTAAATATTTAACTCAATAATGAAAGCTTTTTTTTTCAGATGAAAGTTCTGGAAGGATTGTGTCACACCTATAGCTTTTGGTAGGACAGTGTCATTGGCAACAGTAGTGAGACCAGGTCTGCCCGGCCCCATGAGCTATCGCTGCATTGGCTGTGGTTTGCTGATAGTTTTAGAAATTTAGAAGTTAGTAGGTAGCAAAGTTCTTTTAGTGATTGGTGCATTCCCTGAGGCATAAGGATTTGCATCCCTGCCAAAACTCACATCTTTTTGAGAAGATTTGGTTTCTTTTTTGTTTGGGTTTGTTAGTCTTCCAATCACAAAGTAGTAAATTCTTCAGCTTTAGAAGGAGGGTGTATTTTTTCTTCCACATTGTTAGAAGATGGGAAGGAGGGAGCAGGTCCATTGACTTATCTACCTCACACAGGCATGTACGAGTGCTTTCTCTGTGCACTAGTTTCTGGTGGTGACATCTCTTGGAGGGAAATTCCCAGGAAGACTGTGGTGGTTCCAGGTGTCTCTGACAGCCACCTTTCTTTCCATATCTTGGTGGTTTATTCCATACTGGGATCTTCCCTGGCACATGTCTCATCTGCCCCTTTGGAGAAATGGTCTTGGAGCATCTTTGCATCCTAAACTGCCCCCAGAGCTCTCAGCAGCCATGTGGTGTGGTTCAGGTGTCCCTATGATACCCCTCCCCAGGTGCCCCAATCCAGATGGGGGTTTCTGCCACACAGTCATTCCAAAAAAGCCCATTGCATCTCTACAAACAAGGGATGGTGGCAGCCCTCATGGAGGTGCAGGCATCTCTGACGTGACTGCTAACCAAAATTAAAGACATAAATAAATTGCTTTCTGTAATAGCTCTTGGTTTCAAAAAACTTCAGCTGCAAGCACTGACCCAGAGAGAAGAACTCTGAAGTATTGAGGTTGCTGGGCTTAACCTGTGGAAAAGGAATAAGCTCAGGTGCTGAAAGCTGAGTCAGATGTTTTCAATTTTTCCTGCCAGAGTGAGAACTATTTGCGCAAATTACAGGAGAGTTCCAAAGTAATGTAGAAAGGAATAAGCTGCTTTCATACATATCAATTTCCACTTGGGGAACAGTGAAATTGAGTTAAAAGTCTTAGCTGTTTCTATGGCTTTTAAGCACAGATAATGTAGAGAAGATCTTGGCTGGTGTCAGCCCTTTTTGACTCACTAAACTGCTGAGAATCTTGGGGTGGGACAGAAGAAAAAGCACTTGGGGAAGAATCTAGTGTAGAGGAAATGGTCAGTGTCGTGGTACAGCTGTGGGGGAGAAGGGTGCTCCCTCTGCCTGGGTAGTATCTGCCTTTCTCATTTCTTTATGTTGGTTGTCATGTTCACATACACTTGGAGAGGGAGAGGCATGTTCTTATGGGTGTATGTGTGTATAAAGACACACACACATAACACAGCACTCGTCTATATTGCACACATAGTGGTTTGGGGACCAGTTTCTAAGTGGGTCATGGTATGTCTATGGTCCAAATGAGTAGCAGCATAAGAATTTTGCTTTGTTGTTTATATTTTTTCTTCCTGTATGAAAAATGAAAAGATTAGGCCTCTCTCTGAAAGGACAGCTTTTTGTCTTGGGGAGCTTCCCACCTCTCCCCCTTCAGAGGGGATAAAAACTAATCTTGACTGAGTGATTAGACATGGCAAATGGGGGTTCTACCTTAATGTAACCAATTACTGCATAATTTTGTTGCATAGGTTCCAACAGGATGCGTGCTAACCAAAGATCCAGAAATCTTTCAGCAGGATAAGAAGAAGAATTAACTCTTTAATCCTAGATATAGAGCTCTGAAACTAGGCGCAACATAGAACTGATTATCAGTAATTCCCTACTATTGTTTTAGTCTTTATTTGTATGTTTTGCTGAGTAGTTACACCTAAATAGCTGCATTGTCTGTAGTCTTGAATATATCATCGTGGAAGGGCAACACCATTCATGTCTTTATGTAGATTATGCTTTAATAAGACTGCTTCTATTGCCAACCAAAGTCAGAATCTCATGACTTAAATTTGGAAACTGCTGCCTCAGAGAACATAGTTTAAATATTAAACAGATATTTGGAGTGTGTAAGCGTGGGATAAGCCAGGGAGGAGGATTAGAGGAGGAACTGGAGGAGAAGAATGAAGACGTTACTTGTTGCAGATGATTTCATTGTATTGGGACTCTGTTTTTTTTGATGGAACCGAGTCACTCTTCACCACAACAGGAAAACTCTGTACATTTTTCCTGCTTTACGCAAGGTTTGTACGAGGAACGGCATTATTTGGAGGAAATTCCTGCCCAGTGCATTCACTGGGAGTGATACTGGCTGGTGAGCACAAACGTGTCATTTTTGTGTAGGTATTTCACATTTGAGGAACATCCAATGCATTTATGAATTTCTCATTCTACAGGTGTAACTACCGCTGTGTCCATACTCACCCTGGGGCTGGAGATGACTAGTTTCCCCGTCACCTTCTCCGTGATCCACATCTGAACCTCTTTAAGAAACCAAAATCAACCTCCAGTTCCCCCGCTTTCTCATTCTGTGTGACTCAGTCATTCAGCATGTTTTAAATAGTGTTGCTCATTCCAAACCCATCGGTTACCTGTGCGCCCATCGCTGTCAGCATATTTCTGCAGCGGAGTGGTTTAGCGTTGGGTAATTGGCATAAATTAAACCGCGTGAGTCACGGTGTTGCCCTTTCTGCGTCCACCCACATGTCTCTGTTACGTGTGTGCAGCTTATGGGGAGATGTATGAAGGATAGCAGCGAACAAGGAACTTGCATGCACTCAGAAAATAGGTATTGATGCAGAATTTACGTCAAAATTAGAGGAAGTGAAGAGCACGCAAAAGTATTTGTTTTGTGTGACCACAGGAACCCTCAAGAAATTCTTTTCAGCCAGAGGATTACAGTGAGGAAAACAAAGAAGACGTGTCAGGGGTAGATTTTTGTCTGCTGATGGATGTATTTGTGACTGAGGCACGTGGCTTGATGTCTGCATGGCGTTTTCCGTATTGACGAGCAAGAGCCCTGGATTCTGGCAGGGCTTTGCTGGAGGGCACAAAGGCAGTCGTGTCCCTGGAACTCAACTTTTTCCCATTTGTAGAAAGGGAATCCGTGATTGCTCATGGTTCTCAAAGCACTTCAGTGTTGAAGGACCTATCAAAATCCCTGCTGTTCTTCTCACAAATGATCTATACAATAATAACAATAAATTGAGCATTTGTAGAGGTTACGTTTGTAGACATACAGTTTTCTGCGATTGACTGTTTAATTTCTGCACCTGCAATTACTTCTGGGTGTAGCTTGAGCTGCTTAGATGTCCCAGAACTTGATGGTGCTCATGTGTCAGGTATTTAGGTGCCAAGATACTGTGCCTTGTGGCTTTGCACGGCAGGACCTAGAAAACTGCGAGTGCAGAGAAAGAGATTGACTTAAAAACTGGGTGCTGACGGATGAACAATTCCTTTTCATCCCTTTTTAGGCAGTGTTGTGCTGCGTGTGAAGTCCCTCTCCTTGGTCTGTGGGATTCCCCTTCGCTCAGAAGGGCATGTAACTCTCTGGGCAACCTTTTAATGCCCTTGTAGCCTGCATGTTGTCCTGTGTGGCTCTTGGTGCATCCAAGCTCAGACTGTGACCCAAGGTTTTCAGCAGTGCTCAGTGTTGGCTCATTCTGCCTTCCCACTGGGAGGGGGAGATTTTTGCTTTTTCCCAAGGCGAGTGGTGCTTAACACCTTTGGAAAACTTTCCTAATTCAGTAACTTCTAATCGAGGAGCAAATCGAGAATTTGGGGGCATGCAGGTTCAACTCTTCCACAGCTTCACAGAGCCTGTAGCATTTCAGCAGTCTTAGCTTGTCCCTTGGCAGGTCGGGGTTGTGCCAGGCAGGTTGTGCTTTTCTGGACCCCAGAGTGGGATCCCTCCCACTCATCCTCCTCCCCACACCTTCCTCTGCCAGCACATGGGCTTAGGAGCGAGCTGTACCCTGAGAATAAACTGAGCATCTTCTCCTTGCCTTGGAGCATCCTCTTGAGTGTCACTGGGTAGACATGTGTTATTACTGCTTTTCTTTCATGCCTATAAATCTTCACAAAAAACTCGTCCCTTTCCTCCCCAAATTAAGGCAAATTAAGAGAGTCTGAGGTTCTAAAAACGAAATGCGTACAAAGGATGACTTCCCAGCTACGTGGGTTTCTGTTTCCCTGTTTGTGCAGCTTTCGCTGTTGTCCATCCAGAATTCAAAAAGGTGAGGGGAGACCTGCTAACCTGTTTTTCTTTCTTTTCTCAGTATTTCTGGCTTCTTGTGCTCTCGCGAGGTTTGGTCGGTATCGGTGAAGCAAGTTACTCCACCATTGCCCCAACCATCATAGGAGACCTTTTCACCAAAAACACGAGGACCCTCATGCTGTCCGTTTTCTACTTTGCAATTCCTCTTGGCAGGTAAGTGCCATAAAGCTGCTTTTTTCTGGTTTTGGCTTTTCTCTGAAAGTAAGCTCACACAGATCTTAAGCTGCTAATGATGATAGTTCTTCTGTCTTTGGTCGGAATGGTTTAGACAGGAAAATATTGTGAGCAGTGACTAATTAGTTGCAGGAATTGGATTCTTTTCCTAGCCCTGTTACTGGTTCATGTGTGACTTTTGGGAATTAGTGGGAAGGAATTTTACTTTATTTTTACAGCAATGAGGTGGAAAATGAATCAAAATATTTTAGCTTTTTGGTTTTTTGCAGTATTAAATTAAGTTGTCTTTTGAGTAGTATATAGTATAGTATGTATAGTATTTGAGTTGTATATTGGTTGTCTGAATCATTGCTTTGATTCACGTGAGGTCGAGGCATTCTTTAGGCAGTGTCTTTTAGGTTACTCTGAAATCAAGGTCTCTTAAGACACTGGGCTGAGTTTTCAAAAATGAGCAAATGGGTACCTGCTTCTATGTGACAGTTTAAATATCAGAGGTTTCAAGAGGAGTGTGCTATATAAAATACACAATTGGAAGTTTTGGCTTTTAAAAATATTTGTAGTTTAAGCTCAAATTCTGCCCAACCTTGAATTTGGCCAAGCTGACTAAGTTTGGAAAATGTGACAAAGCCAATCTTAGATGAGTTGGTCCTTACAGTACCAGTGGCCAGGCCATTTTGGTGCTATTGCTACTGAAACAGGAATTAGGAGAAATTGTGAAGTCTAGTGTAGACAGTGATGCTGAAAAGAGGAGGTGTAATGACCGGTCACACTCAATCTTGACCCCAAGCTGTGGGGAACAACTGAGCTCATAGATCCCTGGTGAAAAAGGAGACAGACTCAGATTTGGAGTAGTTATTTCCTCTGGCTCTTTCTTTCGGTTGAGTTCCCTTATCAGCCCAATCAGTATCTAATTGTTGGGACAGGAGGGAATCTGTGATTTTATTTTTATTTTTATTTTTTTTTAAATCGTGGCTGACCCTCTATTGTATTGTAGGGAGGGTGGGTTCGCATAGTTTGCATGCCGAGTTGGACAACATCCTGTGCAAAAGTGGCATCGTGGGTTCATTCCCACCAGGGACAACATGAGCAGCAGTTTATTCCTCCCCCCAACTCAGGAAAAACTTCTGGTTTAGGCTGGTGTATTTTACAAGTTAGAGCACTCATCCCTGAGAGGAGGCTCACAAACATCCATTTGCTCCTGAGAATAAAGGTAGCCAAACCCTTAGCTGGTGAAAAGAAGATTTTCCCAAGGGGGCCAAGGATGCCAAGTATTTACATAGGAAATTCAGAGAACTATACTAGCAAGAAATAACAGATACTCATTCTGTTGAGCCTGATTCTGGGACTTAATTCTCTCAACACACAACAGAGGTTTGGATCTATGGTTTGATTTTGGGACCTGTTTGTGTAAAAAGCCCAGTTTTGGGGTGATTATAGATGGCAACCTCCAAAACTGAGCAGATTGACCCACAGCAGCCCTGGCGACTGTTAGCTAAGGCAATCTCAGCAGTTTGGAAGAAAAGGAAATTCACATCCATTCAGTTCACTTTGAGAAAAGCATGGCTGCTTTCACCTTTATTTAGTCTCTTGTGAGCCACTTTTTGTGACCACAGAGTAATTCTGAGCATGTGGCTGAAGGTCCTGCTGCTCCTTTTTCTTCAGAGGGGATTTCCAAGCTCCAGGTCTGATGTTCTCCCATCAGACTGTCTTGCATATTCTTCTTGGTTTTTTTCTTATAAGCTTGCAATAAATGGTCTCTTCATGGGTAATTAGAACCAAGTGCTATTAAATGACAAGAGAAGATTTAATGATAGAAAATATGGTGTGTCCTTGAAGGGCACTTCTTAACTGAGAGCTCGAACATAAAATTGTTCAGTATCTATATTAGTGCACAGAAGGGCCTGATGTAGAAATTGAATTGAGAAATAAAGTCTTTTTGAGGCTTTGTTTCCACCCACTGTAGATTGAAAGGTCAGCTTCAAACTTGAGATCAGTGGCTGAATTTCCATCAGATTTGAGCATTTTTAGATCAACTGTGCTGGGAAGAGTTAGATATCAGCCACCATCTGCTCCATCCCCCGTGTTTCTTCCTGCAGGAGAAGAGCACCCAGGGCATACAACTGATTGTGCCTCTTTTTAACTTTTCTTTTAGGACAGCTGGGACTGTGGTACTCTGTTCTACAGACTGTTATACCTCTGACTGACTCTCCCCTTTGTGCTTCTTGCAGTGGCTTGGGATACATCACTGGGTCAAGCGTGAAGCAGGTTGCTGGAGACTGGCACTGGGCCTTGCGGGTAAGCCACTCTTAATAACATCTTAATTACAGTTGCATCAGTTGATCAGCGTTAGGAAGAGTGCTATCACACAATACCTCAACCTGTTATTATATATAGAAGGTAAAGGATTGGAAATTACATCTGTGGAGGTGAAGTGCATAGCAGATGCGTTCTCCTAGCAAATGGGAGAGGTCTGTAGGTTTGGCTCGTTGTACTTGGGTGTTTTCCCTGCCTGGGAACAAGAATTTTCCAATCACTTTATTATCAGTCAACCATGATTTCTTGATGGGGATGGGAAGACAAGGCATTGGCCTTAAATCAACTCCACAGTCTTTCAGTTCCCTGCTGTCAAGAAACTCCGAGAATGGCTTCCTGCTTTGAGGAAAAAACACTTTGTTCCAGTTTCCGCTTGTTTTTCTGCCCTGAGACAGTCGGTTTCCTTCTATTTTAACCTCTTGGGACCCTGATAAATGTGTTGAAAAGATAATACACTCCAATCACATAGGCACAAACAGATCCTGCACACAAAGATGTCTTGAAAGAGCTGAGAGGAAGCAGCCCAGCAGAACTGCTGTCTGACCTTTGGCTGGCTGGGTGGCACGAGCCCCCGTGAGGTGCATTCTCTGGCTCTGGCACTTCATGAAGACAACCAATCTCCTGAAGCTCAGGCCAACACCGTTTATAACAGCAGGTGATGAAATACATGGGTTCTCATCTCAAGCAAATGTGCCCTTCTGTGACACAGACCATTCTCTCCCTGTCCAGCAAGGGTAAGCAAAGCCAGGAAAATCACCGTGAAGGGTTCATCTGCAGCTGGGGGAGTGGAGAGGAGTTTCCAGCTGTGAACCTGAAATGAAAAGTTTAATAGCCTACAGCTTCACACCAAGAGGATGGCTACTTCGTTCAACAGCAGAAATTCTTTAGGGATAAAACTAACTTTAGACCAGAGTAAGCAAAAGGAATAAGAAACCCCGAAGCTCCTTCTCCTGGCCAGGGGGCTTTAATGAGGTTGACTCATTGGAGCACTCTTGTGTTTCTGTCTGTAACACCCAAATCATTAATTTGTGCAAAGAAGTCCTCACTGGCATGTTTCTCTTCAGATGAAGTCTCCATAGCTATCCTGACAAATCCATGCTGTCCGCAATTTACCCCTTATCATAGAATCATCTGGGTTGGGAGGGACCTTTAAGATCATCAAGTCCAACCATCAACCCAAAACTGCTAAAACTGTCATTAAAACATGTCCCTCAGCACCACGTCTACCCACCTTTTAAATGCCTCTAGGAATGGCAACTCCACCACTTCCCTGGGCAGCCTCTTCCAATGTTTGATAACCCTTTGTGTGAAGAAATTTTTCCTAATGTCCACCCAAAACCTCACCTGTTGCAACTTAAGGTTGTTTCCTTTCATGCTGTTGCCTGTTCCTTGGGAGAAGAGGCCAACCCCACCCCTTGCTACACCCTCCTTTCAGGGAGTTGGAGAGAGCCAGAAGGTCTCCCCTCAGCCTCCTTTTCTCCAGGCTGAACACCCCCAGCTCCCTCAGCCTTTCCTCATAAGACTTGTGCTCCAGACCCCTCACCTCACCCTCACTTATGGGGTCATGATTTCCATTATAAGTGACACTTTGACGCATGATTCCCCAACTGTGAAAAATCGTAGGGAGTCTGCCAAGCTGTACGCTTCTATGATGGTTGCTTGGTTCCTGTAGTCAAACAACACACGTTGAAAGCTTCCAGACATCAGTGTAAAGCAGCTTTTGTCCCTGTGGCAATTACTGTGCTCTTCCAAGATGTGAAAGATTCCGCCAGGTGATGTTACCCTCTGTGATCTCCCGTGGTCTCCAGGAATCATCAGGAATAATCTGTACCTCAGTGAGCTGAAGAAGACAGAAGGGCACTTTGACAAGCAGCAGCTTTGTCTCTGGATCTAGCAGTAATGTCTGAGCTTCATTGGAGCATTGCTGAATGTCCATGGATATTGTCCTGTTTGGGGATTAAGCATCTAGATAAAAATCAAAGAGACTTTAAATTATTTGACCCTAGAAAATCCTGGCATTTCCTTTTTTTTTTTTTGACCAGCGCTGTGTCTTGTGTTCAACTGTAATAAGGATACTGTGTCAGGCTTCTTTTATCCCTGGATGAGGGATTTTCCTGACTTTCCAGTTCTGAAATATTTTTGTCTTGTCTTCCCTTCCCTAGAAGAATTTTGGGTTTGTCATCTTTGGACATGAAACAATGCTCTATGTGTAGAGGCCATTCTCCAGTTATTATAGGAAGCCTATTTTTTTTGGAACAGGAATTTATTTTTAACACAGTATATATAGAAGAGATGATAGTTCAGTGAAAATCCATGTTCCTGTTTTCCTGATGGAGCTATTTTCCAATCTGGTGATGATGGAATTTCAGTGTCAGAACAAGAATCATATTTGTAGCTTGCAAAACATTGCAATATCTTTGTATTTTTGTCTAGTGGTTGGGAGAAAGGATTGGAAACTGGGAACCCAAACCCCTGCATGTGTCGTTTTCCCATCTTCCATCCTGAATTTTCAATGTTTCTTTCGACAACTGTATACCGAGGGAATCTGAAGAAGCTGCCTGAGGATGGGAAGCTGTTGTGGGTTAGCTGGAAGGGGAAAGCACGTCAGGGAAGGATTTCCAAAGCCAGCAGGTTCCCTACATCCAGAAATCTTTCACCTGGCCTCGTGGCCCTTAGAAAGCTCCTGCTCTCTCCCAAAAACTAGTTGGTTTCAGCCCAGCCCTAAGTAGGCTTCCAAAGAGTTAAATGTCACTGAAGAACTGTATTTAGATGACTCTTGGTACTTTAATAACACAAAGAAATGCGCTGTTCTCAAAGCTACATGTTTCCAGTGTGAGGTGAGAGAGTCCAGGGAATGTCAGGGAGGAAGGAGAGGGGCAGATGCCTCCGTGTGCTCACAGGTTCTGGCTGTAAAGAACCGACTCGCCGAAATGAAACTAATGTACTCTGGTCCCTACTGACTACTCAAAGCAAGCCCTGCTGGCTCCCGGGCTAATTCCCTGATCCTTTCTTGCAGGTATCTCCACTCCTGGGAATGATAACGGGGACACTCATCTTGATATTTGTACCTGCTGCTAAAAGAGGAAATGTTGAACAACTTGGGGGACAGCTGAAGGCTCGGACCTCCTGGCTGAGAGACATGAAAGCGCTGATTAGAAAGTAAGAGCACTCTAATAAAACCCATTCTTTGCCTCTAATGCTTAATTGGAGCATGCAATGGCCTGTACTTCTTAGCTCTGTGAGACTGGAATACGACAACCTGCAGGGAGTTGCAGGAAGCTTGGTCTGTGGACCTAGGAAAGAAAATCACAGTTACATTTCCATGAGGCATCGACTGCAGTGACAATGATGGATCCCAGCTCCTGCTCTAACCTTTCCAAGATTCAGATCTAAGAGAGCGTCTGCTTTGTTTGGCTCATACTTCAGACAAATCAAGGCTTTTGAAGTGTAGAAATTGCTGTGTTCCTGTATTAATTGTTGTGCCACTGTTGCTCAGATGCTTAGATCCTTTTTCTTCCTTGAAAGAGCTTCTCTGCTGAGGCGAAAAAAGAGAGTTTAATGCCAGAGCAATTTGAGAGGAGAAAATACGCAAAAGCTTGCACTGCATGGCAAGTTTAAATATATATGTTTATAAAACCACATGTGACTGAATGCACAAGCACTGAATGTGCTTGGGTGCTTGTATGTGTGCACAGAAGATGATGTGCTCCTGGGTGTTTGAGCAGCTGCACTCGCTTCCAGAAAGCTGCTCTGTGAATGGGCAAACACTTGTGCAATGTGACACTGAGTTCACAAGTCCAATCTGTGAATGGGCAAACACTTGGACTTGTGAACTCAGTGTCACATTGCACACTTAGGGTGTCCTTCATTTTTAGGACTGCTGGCTATGAGGCCTTCCTGGTATTGTCAGCCAGTATCAAAGGACTGTGAAAATTGATGATGGTTAATTTATCAATATTTCTATATTACTTTTTTGTTAGATTATCCAAGTAGTAATCATATGGTGGCATGGACAGGGAAGGAGAAGGGAAACTGGGTAAACAGGGGTGATTACAGTGAAAGCCCTGTAATTCACACATCATCTCTTAGTGACCAAGTACTGATTGTCTTCTGAAATGCTCTTGTGAAACATGGTCTCTTTGAAGCACCTATGAAGAGTTAAGTACCTTATTATCAATGGAGCATCACCTCTGAGGCAATATTCCACGCCTCTTATTCTCCGTTGCTTTGTACCTTGTAATACCTCTGCCCCTTGGCAAAGGGAGGTGGCTGGGAAGGGGCAACGCTGTGTTTTGTCACCAAATCCTGTCCTGGGGCTCCTGCTTGGTCACTTTTCCTACTAAACCTTCCCTTGTGCCTCCACAGCCGCAGCTACGTGTTCTCTTCGTTGGCCACCTCAGCTGTCTCCTTTGCCACAGGGGCCCTTGGCATGTGGATCCCTCTCTACCTGCACAGAGCACAGGTCGTGCAGAAGACAGCAGAGACTTGCAGCTCACAGCCTTGTGGCACCAAAGATAGGTGAGACTCATGCTCTGCTGCTTTAAAGAGGGGGGTGAGGGGGTGGGGGCTTAGTTACCAGAGGAAACAGGCAAGTCCCACGGCGTCGAGTTGCTAGAATGTCTGTAATTTCCTCTAGGTCTTTGCAACAATGATAGGAAATGCTGTGATTGTAAACTAGGTTTTATTTCTCTTCTTTTCTTCATTGCGTGGAGTCAAACCAAGGGAGAAGCAGTGACCTCAGCTCTGTCTTAGTTCCCAGGGGTAGAAAAGAGACCGCTGTCTTCACCTTAGAAGATGCTTGGAGAGCTGAGAGAGAAAGTGGTTTCTTAAGCCTCAGGCTGTTTTCTGTGGTAGGAGCACAACCAGCTGGCAATTTGGGTGGCCACGGTGGTGCTCCTATAATTCAGGGTGCTCCTAAAGGCTGCAAGGAACTGACCCTGAAGACTTCTGTTGTTGTGTGAGGGAGGACTTGGCCATGTTTCATGGCTCTGCACGCTGCTGCCTGTGCTGAGTTTTGCTGGAAAATGATGCAGAGATCTGGGACACTTTGCTCTGGGCTGCTGGATGTCACCCAGTGGCTTGTTTTTTCAGTCTCAATTATATAATTTCACTTGCAGCACATAAACTGTGGAAAGCAATTCATCATTTTGTGCTTTACCGTAATAGCACAAAATATAAAATGCTAAAAAAGGCATTTCTCCAGGTGAATAAAAGATATGAAAAACTGCCTTTTGTCAGCCTTTTTGCTTTTTAGCTTGTGAGGGGAAAATCAACATTAGGAAAAACCTTCTTGCTCCACCTGCCACAATCCCATCTCAAGTAAGCTACTTATTGGTTTGGAGTGCCATCACCCAGAGCACCCAGCGGGCAGTCTCGGTCTCTTCTGCAAAAATGCAGCGAGCAGAAAATACAGCTCCAGTCAGACTGCCCATCTGCTCTCTGCAGAGAGAACTTTTCCACTCCTTGATGTCACCAAGGTTTTGAGCTGCCCTGGAGCTACGGTAATGGAGCTGCCAAAGACTCTGTAATCCAAGTCCTGCACTACGATACGGAGAATCCGTGACAGCTCCTGGCTCTTTAAATTTAAATTAAGGCATTTCAGATGTGTAACGTAACAGCAGAATAATCTAATCGGGCTTCTTTGAAGTGGTCTGAAAGGAGTTAGAAAGTCAAAGAATGTTGAAAGTCACTGGTATTTAGAGTCTTGTTGGGTTTCCTTTCCCTTAAGCTTCCCAGTGCCTTCCGTGATTTCCCCTTACATGATGAGTGGGCAGGTTATTACTTAGTTTTGTGCATATGTAATTAGCTGTACAACGCACTTGATAGGACACCCAGTTCCACACAAAGAAGCAGTAGGAGCCCTTTGCACTTTACATGTTGATCAATGCCTGTGTATGAGGCTGAATTTCATACGCTGTGTTTTTCTTAATTGCAGGACAAGAGTGCTAAAGTCACAAGCACTCAGCAGGGGAGCTCATTGGTTTTATTTAAATTTGCAAAGCCAACATGCAGATTCCCATTAGTCAGTTTACCCTAATCATTTGTTCAAAGACCATGCCCATTTTTTGGAAAAACTCTAAAAAATATAACTGTATCCTTTTATTTTTTTTTTTTTTTTCTTTTTAATAGCTTGATCTTCGGAGCAATCACATGCTTCACTGGCTTCCTGGGTGTAATCACAGGGGCCGGGGCAACCAAATGGTGCCGGTTGAAAACCCAGCGAGCCGATCCTCTTGTCTGTGCTGTTGGCATGCTGGGATCAGCCATCTTCATCTGTCTGATCTTCGTGGCTGCCAAGAGCAGCATCGTGGGAGCCTACGTAAGTATAATCCTTTGCATATGTTGGTCTCATTCCTCCCTTCTCTACCAAACCCCTTGGAAGACTGTGTGCATTGTCCCCTGCAGGAGATGTTGGTCTTGCTCTTCTTCTCAATGTCCTTCATTTTGCCCCCTTGGCATTTTGGCTCTATCTAGATGTGCCTGGAGGGAAAATATGTCTCAATTACTTATCCCCTCGCTGTCATCAGGCTTTAGAGCTGGGGATTTAGCTCATGTGTGGAAACCCACAGTTCCCTGTGTTTGGGTTGTTCTATCGCTACCTCTATCCATACTTCTGCTGCTCTTGCTTAATGTTTTGGTACAGGAAAATTGGCCACTTCCTTTACAATAAGGGTGTTATAGCTGCAGTGGTACCAAATTATAATTACAGTATAATTTGTCTGTGGGCACGCTTCTGGCTGCCTGTAAGTACCATTAATTTCTGTAACTGGGTAGTTCGCTGCAGACCAATATTAATTACCATGTCATTTCAATTTGTTCTTATCTGTATTACCATAGCACCTGAAAGTCCTAGTCATAGCCCAGGAACCCACAACACTTGATGCTGCACAAATGCAGGTTAAAATACGGCCCCTCCCAGTGTGTTTATAATCGAAGTTTATAAAAAGAAATCAGATAGATCCACACAAACTGAAGGGAAAGGGAAAAACTGAAGTGTAATAACCCAGCCCCCTCTGGCTATTTATAAGGTGTCAGAAGGAGATTCGGTCCCCTAGTTTGTGGCATGGTCTGGAGCTCACCTTTGATTTGGAAGAAAAACAATCACCTCAGTCACCCTGTGAGAGGGTGTTACTGGTTGGCCAAGCATTAACCCTCCTTTCGTCGTCAGCCGTCTCCACGTGAAGAGACCTGTCACATCCCTCCTCCTCTCCGTGCATCCAGACCTGTGATTTTCTCCTTTCTCAGACCTGATGACAGACAGGTTCATTTGGGGTGTTTAGCCTCTTTATGCAGAAAGTCCTCCCTTTCTAAGCTGGAAATACCAATTTCAAAAATTTTGACACGAAACATGGTTAATGGTCTCATTTTCATCTTTTTTTTTTTTTTAATAGCTGTGTGACTAATCTAGTTAGTGTAAATATATAAATATAGATGGCATCATTTAAGCAATCTTAGAAACAATATATTTTATTATGCATGAGCAGTAAATCTAATAAAGAGTCAATCACTGGCAAAGGAAGTTATATCTGAATATGGAGGGGGTATGAGGAATATAAGTGTATTTGCTGATGCCCTTAGGCTGATGCATACATTTCCTGCAGGTGACCTTGCCCCTCCGTAGCCCTAAATTTGCTTTCTCTGCTGCTGGAAGCCTGATGCATGGAAATCAGACAAGAGTCTAGTTACTGTGCTGATTGGGGAATCGGAGATCTGAACACTCTTTATAGCTCCTACACGTGACAGTGGGCGAGTTGTTTAACATGATTTTGCCTCTGCAAAGCAGCGTTCTGGTCTGTTCTCCATCATGGTTGTATTTCCAGACCTCCTGTGACTGTCCTCACATTTCTCTTATTGATCACACCGTGCTAAAATTGAAGGGCTACTGGGTTTGGACCCCTCATTGGCTTAGACCCTTAAAATTATCACTTCCAAGCATTTAGATGGGTCCCCATGAGATGCTGTTGTGTCACACTGAGCTGTGGTGGCCACCAGATCACCATCTCTCTCCCTGCTCTAGTTAATCACTATCTAGTTTTTCATTTCAACTGATACTGGCACTAGCATAAATGAAGTGTTCAGCACTCCAGCAAGAATCAGCAGACCCTTTGCGTTTTAATTTATTGGGTTTCTGGGTTTGGGGTTTTTTTTGGAAAAGACCTGCATATCCTTTGGCATGATCCCCTTGTCCTTTACAGGCTGCTGCTCTCTTCCTCCCCTGAACACAAGTACCTTTTCTCCTTTGCTCAGTCCTGTCTTGCAGGTGGTTTTGACCCCTCAGGGCAGCAGCTATTCCTGTTCTGTAGCAGCCACTTCTACCCAGAGCAGGTAGACAGACTTCTTTTTTTCATCCAGGCTTTTCATACTAATCCAGTAAGTTATTGGCAGTGGCAGAAGTGGCTGGAAAGGTGGAATAAACCAGCATTCTGTATCACTTAGCTGCCTAGACACTTGTGTTTCTGTCTTTTACTATCTTGTTTGGCTTTATAGTCCAAGCAGTTCTTACTCTATTTTCCTTGCAACACATGTATTTGTGCATTGTAGTCCAGCTCCTTAAAAGAGCAATTTACATATCTTTAGGTCCCACTCTTACTCAAATATGTACTTTTTGAAATGTTGGTTTTCAAATCTGTCTCTTGAAACCCGTTATCTCTGTGGAGTCATTGTATCATGCTGCTCAGACATTTCAACTGCAGATTTTAGACTAGTTTAAATTTCTAAGTGACTGGAGGGATTGCTTTGCCTTCCTTTTGTCACTGTTCCAAGTTCCTGTTGTACCTCAATTTCAGCATCTATTTCAATTCCTCAAAGACGTTTTATGGTCTTGCAGAAACAGCAACTCCCAGGGTAAAACCTTGCCATGGAGCTTTTACAGCATCTCAGGCTCAGCCCTGGGGACTTTCAGTTGACACGGTGTTGGTGACTTACCTACTGCTGAGGCATCAGTATTGCCCAACACTGAGATGGTGTTAGACTTTCTTCAAATTCCAGAGTATGTCTGGGAGTCTTACCCATCATTTCCAAGAGAAATACAGATAATGAAGATGTATACAGAGAGAGATTTTGCAAATAGCCATGGAAGGAGTTTATAACCTGCTTAGATCTTGCTGTGGGAGCTGCTGGTGCGACCACCCCGAAAGTACTTCACTTCTCATTTCTAAAAATCAGCACTTGCTAACTGATCACATAAACAGAAGACTTGAGGGGGACGTAACTTCTATCAGCTCATCACAGGTGGGCAACTGGACACCAAGTGGAGGTGGTGAGATATTTTACAGCACAGCTGGATTGGGAGGAGGATAGATCTCCAGAGCTGAAATCTCAGTGTAAAATGAGGCTTTGAACAGTGTGTGAGGAGTCCAAGCCATGACCGTTTCAGGAGCTATTGATCTGTCTGGAGGCTGCCCTATTTGCAGTAAGCATCCCTAGATTCTCTCTCCAGCAGAAATACCACGTATCCTCATATGCCCTTTGCAGTGGTTGAACTCATTTATATAAATCCCCATTAGCAGCTGAAGGACAGAATTTTTTTAATGCTAGTGTCTTTTGTCCTACTTTTTGATCTTCCTCTTGTTCCTCTTTTCCTTTTACCAGTATCCACGTATTAAGCACGTGTGTCATGGAAACGTGTTGGGTGAAACACAGGTTCAGCCATCAAAACTGGTACCCTCTGAAGTTTGTAGCATTTCAATGATTTATTTATAGGACTTGTGCTGAATTCCTGCAGAAGGGGGCAAGTTTCACTTGCTGCCCGTAGCAATTCATGTGTGTCTCATGTGTAGGTAATTTCTATAACCTGAAGGCAAGCAGTTGCCTGTTTGCAGTGCTGTGCAGACAGGCAGGGCATGTCGATGCTGCGTTCAGAGCTGTGATTACATCTTTCCCCAGCTCAATTTGATCTCTCCAGCCACAGAACCCCAGGAACAGCCCCTGCAGAGCTGCAGGAGGAGAGATTTCAGCTCAGGTCCCTGAGAGCCCACCTGGGGCTCCGCTATGTCCTCGCTGCCTGAGCTCCCACCATTGGATCTGAGGATCCCATCACCATGATTTAGGAGAGATTTCAGCTCAGGTCCCGAGAGCCCACCTAGGGCTCCGCTATGTCCTTGCTGCCTGAGCTTCTGTCATTGGATCTGAGGATCCCATCACCATGATTCCTTGGATCTGTGTTCCTCAGCCTGGCAGTTGTCCTTTCCAGTGAGAGCCAGATGCAAGGCAGACCCGTGGGCAGTGGGAAAATGGAAAGAGGAGGTTTCCTTACTGCCTGCCCAGCTGGGCTGTAATGGCTGGCTCGGACACCATCACGGAGGAAGCAGATCCAGTCACAAAAAGAGGGGAACAGGGAGGGAGAACGTGTGGGAAACAAAGACAATTTTAGAAACAAATAGAGGAAGCTTTCTGTAGGTCAATGCGTAAGACTCGCTAAATAAAGCAAACTATTCCAGGCAGTGACATGATGGTCGGAGGGGTTTAGGCAATCTCACCAGTGTGTGGGAAAGACAGTCATGGTGGTCACGTCTGAGCCAAAGCTGCCAATCTTGGATGTCCTCCTCCCACCCCAAACTGTGCCTGTGCAAGGAACAGGGACTGGGATGGTGACTGGGACTGTCGGCCCCTCAGAGCTCACGTGGACACCACCAAACCACATCCCTCTGAACGTTTCCTCAGCGCAAAGCGCACCGTGTCTTTCTCAACGGCTTTGTTTCATTAATGAATTGTAGCTTATTGAGCATAACAAAAATTGAACATAAGGCAATTAAAAAGGGAATCTTCAATTACCAGAATCCAAATCTCCGTAGCTGTTATCTTCAACTACCAGTAGGGATCTCGGGAGTAATGTTTTCTCTCTAGATGCCACAAAAAGAAATGGGTTATCTGGGCAAAAAACAGTCTTTTAGGGGGGACATCTAGTAAAGTTTTGCTTGGTTTTTGGCTGGCGGGGAGCAGGGGAGCTGTTTTTTACGAGTCTGGTTATTTATGTAGCACTTCATCTATGTGTTCTGCTCTTCATCATACACAAAGGAAGAGGGAAATGTGTGTGTTTCATCCTATTGAACCTACATTTCTTTGTTAAACTGTTAATCTATGGCATAAAAGGAAAAGTTTCATGATCGAACTGCGGGTAAAAAGCTTTTTGATGAAGGTCTTGTACCTCCTGAAGCCATGTCACCCTTGCTCCATTGGACTCATTTTGATGAACATTGTCTTTTAATGATGAGGCCAGGTTAAGTTAGTTGTTTCTTGATCATTTCAAGCTCTTCAACTGCTGTGTTTGTAGAACCATTTAGTGAACTGCACCAGGGAACTGATTTGGATTAAAACTAAGAAAAATAGGCAAAACAAGCCCCTCTTCCCCTGTCTCTCCCCGACAAAAGATTCTTTGCTCCATCTCAGTTTCCTGGTCCAAATCCCAGGGGTACCAGCCCTGCTGAGTAGGCAGGGTGGGATGGGAGTAGGTGGGGAGGGAGAGCTAGGGGTGGAAAGGATTTGTGGTGGCTGTTCATACCACAGCAATGCAAAAAGAAGCCCTCACCTCACTACATCCACCGGGCTTTTAATGTCTCTTGTTGGCCATCTCCACAGAGTCAAGAGTTATACTTCACCATAAGGTGTTGCAAAACCCACACATAAGTCCTCTCCTGACTGTACGTAGATGTTACCAATGTAATGCTTAAGTGCCCAGGACTATGTGTCCCTCAAAAAGGACGGCCATGTGCTAGCAGGGGAGGGAAGGGATCTGCACATGGTGGGTAGGGAATCTCAGCTGGTTTGCTACAGAGCTTAACGCATAGCTTAACTCCCAGTGACAAAAATGCTGGTGTTTTGGGGAGTTGTGGCCTTCTTGCCTTATCTAACCGACTTTTTGAAACAAAATGATGCATGCATGGAAGCCCAGGGCTGTCTCTTCTTGTTCTTAATGTCCTTCTGTTACCAAATGTGTCAGCCTTTAATTTAGCTGCCCTGTAGATCATAAACAGTTTACACTAATGAAGTTGCAGGCCAAGCCTCTAGAGCTCTGATAAAAATCTATAGTTTTCTGATATTCAGGATAAACCACAACAATAACAAGGAGTGTATTGTGTAGGTTTGAAACAAATAAGCAACAAAGGAAAGTATGTGACAGGTTATTTTTCCCTTGAATGTCAAGTGAATAAACCGTCTCCTTTTTGTGTGTTTTGTTACAACAGATTTGCATTTTTATCGGAGAAACTCTTCTGTTTTCAAACTGGGCTATCACAGCAGACATACTAATGGTGAGTGTACCTTGGAACAGCATCTTTCTCTTCTGGTGGCCAGAGCAGTCTGTCAGCTTGCAAGAACAACCTGAAGTTCACCATTTCTTCCAAGCACTTAACCCCTACTTCAACCTTTTTTTTTTTTTTTTTTTTATTAGTTCTTTCTTTTTTTTTTACTTGCTGAGAAGGAAAGTGAGATAAAGAGAGAGAAAGGAAAAAAGGTTATTCTTGTCTTTTGTCCCAAACACCAGGGAGGGGAAATTTCCAGAAGGGGCACCATTACTGAATTCAATTTCTTTCCCCAAATTTTAAGTATTTGCACAAACCCCCATATGCAAAGAAATCAGCCAGCATTTCCTAATAGTTAGCACATAGTGGGTTTTGTTATCAATAACTCAGCTTTGTTCTGCAATAGGAAACCCTTCCCTCCCTCCGTCCCTCCTCTGATCACAAAGGCAGCCTCTACCTCTCTCTTTGGCTGAACTCCAGCAAACCCACCATTCAACACACACACAATGGAAACCCACCTCTGGGAGAGGAGAGAGGAAAAGAAAGTATAAAGAATTTTTGGACGATGTCCACCTTGTCCAAGAGGAAACGGTCGGGGACTTTTCACCTCATGGCCTTCATTTTCCATTCTTTCTCCACCATAGAGCTTTTTTCAGTCTTTCAAATCAGCAAGCTGACCTCAGCAGCTAGATTTTCATATGAAATAATCTGCAGGTTTGTTAGAGCCTTGCATGTTTTGAAGATGCTTTCAGCAGAGATGCATGGAGCCTATCAAACATACTGTGTGTTGAAATCCCATTGTGAGGGAGGTTACTTGTTGCTTATTGTATGAAAAAGAAAGAAACTAGGGCATAGAACCATTACAGGACTTGCCCGAGGTCTTTTGGGAGGTTGTTGACAGAACTAAAAATATAATCAGTCTGGCATCAATAGAAAACTCCCTTGACTTGTATTTGTTGCTTATGCAAACATCAATGAGAAAACAATCTGGCTCAGTATTCCTAGATGTAAAGATAATAGTGTTGATATATTGATTCAGCAAAGCATTTCAAGCTTCTGCTTAAGTTCTGCTTATGGTGTAAGTTCAAGGTTGTGTTTATATTTGAAGGTGGTTCTGTAGCTGCCGTAACCACGTTGCCTGATGAACTTTCAATCTTCCTCTCCTGTGTGCAGGGAGCGCTTGGGGAGGTGGGGTAGGGTGGTGAATTCCGCTTCTCCCAGATGTGAATAAAGCATGGAGAAACAAAGGTTATCAGTGTATTTCAGTAGTGTTAGATGGCTTTTAATTACCGAGGTTCGTTCCTCCCACCAGCTTAGCTTTAGTGTGACAGAGCTCTGCACGGGCTGGACGGGTGGTGACTCTCTACACGGGGTTTGCAGCTTGTGCTGAGTTCAAGGCTGCTGTGGCCGTTTGTTGAGCGGTATCTCAACACTCAGACAGATGTGCAGGCTGCAGGCAGCTGTGTCGAGCTAAAAATTCTAGTACAATATCAGTAGTTGCTCATTACCCACTCCTGCCAGAGTGTCCTGCTGCGTCCTGCCTTCAGCTGTGATGTTCCTGGGAGTGCTCCCACCTCTCTCTGGGCAGAATTAGCCCGTGGGCTTAAAAAGCAGATCTTTTCTGTCCTCATTAGCGTTGGCAGAAACAGGTAAGGGCTTGGCTGTGGAGCACATGGTGGTGGTCCTCCAGCAGTGACTCTCAAAGAGCAGCTGAAAGGAGGGGACCTGTCAGATGTGTTCAAGGTCCCCCAGAAAATCCGTGCCAGAGAGAGAGCTGAAACTTGAGCTACGTTGTCTCAAGCTAACACCAAAAGATGTTTTTCAACCAACTGCTTTGTTATATCAAGTGTGCTAAGGATGCCATCATTGTCCCGTTTTAATTACTGAGATTTACTCCAATATGACTTCAGTATCCTGTACCTTTTTAATAGCTTTGATGGGCTTTGCCATCTGTCTCCTGCGATCAGCATCCGAGAGTTGTGTTTTGCCGGGACGCATTGGCAGTTATTTATGTTGCTTTAGCGCAAAAGAACTCCCTAAGAAATGATTGAAAGTAACTGGAAATAATTTCTTAGTTCCAATTTCCAGAACGCAGGAAAGAAACTAAAACTATGTTAAAAATTGGATTTGGGTAATTGATGCCAGCTCTTAAGCTCCCTGTTCTCTTGTCTGTTTAGATGAATGAACTCGGAGCCGTATATAATGCCCTGCTTAATGCATTATCAGCACGAGTCGGCCGGTAAAAGTGTTACCCAAATGAATGTAAACATCCACTTAGACCAGTGCAAGGCTGTAAACAGATGGGCTGAAGTGCATTTCTATCACACACGGGGTTGGGGAGGATGTTTAGTCAGACAGTGGGTGAGAGCCAGGGCCGTAACCGTGTTTGACAGCTTTGTCAGAGAGAGCTGGGGAAAGGTGTGGATGTGCTTTAGCGAGATGCACTTTAAATGTTTGGCAAATTAATTTCTTCTGATTACTATTTATTTGGTGTAATCAGAAGTGTCTGTTCTTGCCTGAGGCTGGCAAGGAATTTAAAAGCATTATTAGCGTGAGCTTAACAACACTTTCATCATATACATAAATATTATCCTGTTTTCATGGATGGAAAGCACTCAATACTGGCTGAACGCTGTTCCCACTGATTTCATTATGCCAGAAGTGAGGCTTTTTGGAAACTGCATCCCAAATGATTTAGCATAGCTCTCCCAAGAATTACAGATCCCACGACTGCTTAAAAACCTTATCTGGCAAGTCGGTAAGCATCTTCAGAGGTTTTACAAGTTTAATTTCCTTGGCAAAGCAAGGATGTTTGCTTATTATCTTCAGATTTAATTGTTGGCTCTTCATAGCTTGGTGCTTCCATCACATCCGCTGGTGTCGCCGCTGGGTGGGCAGCTCCTCGGGTTCTCTGCAGTGGAAGGTGCTGAGTGCTGGGTTTGATAAACTGTCAGCGCTGCAGAATGTACGGCACATTTTTAAAAGGCTGATATTTGTTCCAAAATGCAAATTTGTACAAAACAGGCCTTATTCTCCTGAGTGCAACTCTCCAAATCTCCTCCCAGGCACATGCTCAGACGGTGCTTAGGGAAGGGGGGATGGTTCTTATGGAGCATGCTAATTATGAAACAGATTTTATCAACCATCTTTGCAAATTGGCCTCAAAATTACCAGAAGCCCAAAGTAGCATTAAAACTGCCTTGTAACAGCAATAATGAATGAGCTTCGGTGCAGCAGGCAAGAGTGTAAAATTGAGCTGTGCTGAGGGCTCAGGACTGTGTGGAATCTGGTCCTGGCAGTGGGGTTTTTCCACCACAGCACATCTCAGGGATGACTGACAGAGGCTTGGTGGCATCTCTGTGTAAGAGCCAGTAGGTGATTTAAAGGGCCTCAGCTATTGTCATCACAATCTCTTGGGGTCTTTGCTGAGAGAAGCCATCCTCTGGTTTATGCAAAGTCCCAATGCATGCAAAGTATGCGTGCAGAAAATGCTCTGCATACTTACTTTTTCTTTTAAAACATTATTTCTTCCTGCTGATGTGGAAGAGATTGGCCTTGATGCTTTGCCGTAGAGTCAGAGTCTTCCTTTGGGCTTGAAAGAGGCACGGAGTGGAGCTCAGCTGTGCTGTAGGCATGGAGGAACGTTCCTTTTTGTTCTGATTGTCTTCCCTATCCATAAAAAACAATTATTTATGTAGTATACAACACTGCCCTATTTTTACAGCTGAAGATAAATGCCATTCGCAGAATTCCTCATTGTTGCTTCTCCCAGTGTGCTTCCACACCTCTGTAACCTGCGTGCTGGGGTTTAGATTTTAGGGCAGGATGAGGAGAGCATTGGAACCAGGGTCCATGGTCCAGCTCAACCTCCCCAGCACAGGAGGGATGTGCCAAGGGACGGCTCTGCCGTTCTCCGGTGGGGTTGCAGGTGGATCTGTGCTGCTCCGTGCTGGGCTGTGGTTTGGAGACCAGCTCAGCTTCTTTTGACTTCATTTAAAAGAGGTTTTTTAGGCAGTGTCTGCCTAGCTTGAGTGAAGGGGCTCTCTTGGGCTGGTGTCTCTGGATCACAGCCTGGGCCTTTACTGAGCAGTGGCTGCAGGAGGGACACCACGTCCAAGCTTGGGCAGCGGCTGGAATGGAGTAACCAAATGTTTTCTTTGCTTTTGGTGCTGAAAGAGGCCAGTGTGCCTTGTCCTGAAGATCACTGCCTGACCCAGAAAGAGCAGCAAAGTGCTTTAGAGAGTAGAGTTTTCTATCAAAAATCAGACATAAACATCAGTGCTTCCCTCTTTGGCACATGGCCTTTTACCGGGAGCAGGGTGATCTCTCCTTGGCTTTCCTGATTCCACACCAGCTCATCCTGCTGGTTTCACTCCGGGAAGAGGATGGCAGCAGTAAACCATGGCCTTTCTGAACCTCTATTTAAGGAGGAGAGGTTTGCCAAAGCTGCTTGCTCAGCCTCCCTGCCCGTCCTCGGTGCCGCTGGGCTCTCAACCTGGATGAGAGATGAGCCAGGACCATCCCACGGGCTCCTGCCGCGGCTGCTGTGGCTCTCCCACCTCCAGCTTCTGTGGGATGTTCAGACCAGGCTGTGTATGGTTTGAATTTAGGTCTATTTTAGTATAAAAATGCCCAGTTAGAGCTGTAATTTACTGCTGTCTTCCTAGAACAGTAGATAGTGTGTGCTACCAACTACTTCCTCTCATCAGAATAAAATGCTTTTTAAGCAGGATAGGGTGGAGTACTTTTTTAGTCTTTTGGAGATGATGGTTTAAGCCTTTTTTTCTTTCCAATATTTTTTTTTAGAGCAGGAGGAAAAATCTTGTGTTCATTTGCTTGCCACATGTTGGGATTATGGCTTGGGGGGGTGGTGATTGTCGCTTGAATTTCAGGCTAAATTTACTAAGTTTTGGCACTTCATAGTGCCCAACTTCTTTAGGTAGGTACACTGAAAACTTTCTGGAGAATGTATTGCTACTTGCAAAACTACATGTATGTATAATACAGAT